CTGGAACCATAAGCTCAAATAAAATCTTCCTTCTATAAATTGCTTGGGTCAGTGTTTCTGTCACAGTAACAGAAAAGTGACTAATACAGTAATTGGTACCAGAAGTGAGGTATTGACTGTGAAGAACCTGACCATGTGGGGTTTTGAAGAAATGTGGAAGATTGGGCTAGAAAAGCAGCTGATTGCTATAAGCGGAGTTTAACAGGCCATTCTAGTAGGCGCCTTGAAGAAAGTAGTGCTGAGAACAATGTAGTTCCAGAGGGAAAAGCAGCAATTGGGATATTTTGGCAAAGAGTCTGGCTGGAGTCTGCTCACAGCCAAAAAGCTTGCCTGAGGCTAAGTTGAAAAGCCACAGACTAATTTCTCTTGTGGAAGAAATGGTGGTATGGCTATTAATGGTGAATATTATACAGATCTACAGTGAAAGAGAGAAAATGGGGCAGAAAGAAATACAGTTTAAATTGAAAAAGAGCACTAGGAAGATAACTGTTGGAACCCTGGCATGTGATGGAGAGGATCCCATTGATAAGGAAATTAAAGTGATTAAGGAGATTAAAGTGATTAAGGAGGGGTCTAGAGATTCAAACTTAAACAATGGAGAGAGTGCCTCTGGGGCTAGACTACACCCAGTTAAGCCTCCAACTTGTGAAAGGAAAATGCTGCAGGGACCACTGAAGAGAAAAGCTTCTAAAATGGATAAAGCAGACTGGAGTCCATCTCAAACTTGCTGTCAAACTTGGCAGTGTTGTTCACCCAGTGCTGGCTTTAGAGGCAAGAAAGATGCAAGAGCAAAGGGGTCATCAGTTCTTCCTCCATGGTTTCAGAGAGCTGCTGAGGCCAGGCAACATGCAGCAGGGGTTCCCCTGCCCAGAGAAGGCCCTGATAGGCCATTGTGTGAAGCTGTGAAGGTGAAGCCTGGTTGGCAATGGAGACCTCAAGGAGATGGCCATCATGCCAGAGATGTGAGGCATTGCCAAGAAGATCTGCATACAGGGAGTGGTACCAGCCCAAGAGAGAAATGTGTGTTGCAGGCAGCAAAACTAGAGAGGCTGAGCCATCTAAGTTCGTTGGAAGTAAAGTCCCAGAAGTCAAACATGGAGCTACTGGATTTGGTGTTTGTCCTGCTGGTTTTCGGTCTTATTTTGGTCCGGTATTTCCTTACTATGCTTCTATTCCACCCTTTTCCAATGGTGACGTGTATTCGGTTCCACTGTATGTTTGGGAGTATGTAATTTGTCTTTTGATTTTACGGGTTTACAGTTAAGATACTTCACTGAGTCTCAGAAGAGACTTTGGACTATTGACTTTGGAATAGCAGTAAGATTGATAATGACTATGGGGAATTTTAAAGTTGGACTAAATGCATTTTTGCATTTTATATGGTCATGAGCCTATGGGGGCCAGGGGGTAGAATGTGGTGGTTTGAGTGAAAATGTCCCCCATAGGCTCCAAGCATTTGGACATTTTGTCCCCAGATGATGGTGCTGTTTTGGGAGGTTTTAGAAGGCATGGCTATGCTGGAGGAAGCACGTCAGTGGGAGTGGGCTTAGAGTATGTATACACATATGTTAATAACTTGTGTTATTCTTTTTTTGAATGTGTGATTGAGGTAAGTGTTAAGTGGTTAAGTGTTGTGAACCTATATGATTATATTGGGTTATGAGATACTAAAGGACTAAGCATTCTTTGAAGACCTTATCGCCTACTCTAAGATATATAATGCATTGGTCATTGTATGATGGGATAGTCATATCATGTTAGGTGAAATTATGACCTCAACATTGTTTTCATTTGAAAATTAAGCATAACATAGAGAGATGCTATTGGGTGTCAAGTTGACAAGGAGTGGACTTGTGATAGCTAATCCTCGGTGTCAACTTGACTGGATTCGGGATTAACTGAAATGAGAGAGATCTTCTTAATTGGATCATCTGAAGCTGGAAGACACACCCTAAATGTGGGTGTTACCTTCTGATAGCAGCCTGTATAAAAGGCCACGGCAGAGGAGAACACCTTGCTTTTTGCTGCTTGCCTTCTCTCTCGCTGGTGAGTTCATCTTGCTACTACAGACTGAAGACTAGCTGATCTTTTCAAATTCATCAGACCTTCAGCATCAGATTGGGGCTACTGAGACATCCAGACTCATGGACTGAGTGACTACAGATTCTCAGCCTTTCCAGTGTGGTGCAGCCATTGTTGGACTACTCAGTCTCTATCCTGTGAGCTAAGCTGATAAATCTCTATACATATATATTCATTCTACCAGTTCTGTTTCTTTAGAGAACCCTGACTAATACACAGGTCTTTGGGGGAATGTCACTTTCTCAATGGGAACAGTGCAGCTACTCTGTTATTCTGACATTTATATAAAGACACACACATACACCATGCATGCCACAGTGCAAATGTAGAAAAGTCAAAGGACAACTTGTAGGAGTCAGTTCTCTCCTTCCATCATGTGAATCCCAGGGATTAAACTCAGGTCATCAAGCTTGAGGGCAAGAGCCCTTACCCACTGAGCCATCTCACCAGCTAGCCGTTCTATTTTAAACTGTCAGAGCACCTTACTGCCCCATCCTTCCTACTCTCTCCTCCCATCTCTTATCCCTATTTTTTTTTGCAGTCGGAGGACTTAGGTCCTCATATATTTTATGTTCATCATCTGATGCCTGTAGTTCTTTCTAGAAGTAAGTTCCATACAGATGGCAGAGTGAGAAATAGCAAATATTTATTGGATTAATAAATAAGAATGGGAAAGTAATCATGCAATACTACTATAAACAGCTCCAGGTCACCTGTGGCTAAGTCATACAAACCATAATAGTACCCATCCCACAAAATGATGATATAGATATTACAGGAGAACAAGCAAACTTTGTTGTACATACCTACAGGTAAACATCTAAATATCTCTCTTCCACAAAGAGAAATCAAGAGGTAACATGGGAAAATTGGAAATGAAAAAGTAGCAATGCAAGTATTTTACTTAGATTCTTGAAAACAATCAAAAGAATCAACTAATGGTTGAAAGGGATTATTTGTGGAGAGCAAGAATTTGGGTGTAGTTTTCAGAACTACTTAACATTTGAAATTATATACAAATATCATTCATGAAAATAACAGCCAAAGTAAGAAAAAATGTAGAGACAAGTACCATCTTGTGAAATATTCACCTTGCATATAATAGGTCCAGAATTAATATACAGATTAACAAAGTGTCAGGACCAAACTGCCCAAAAATTAGAAACCATATGATAAAGCATTTCATAGTGTGGAAACAAGAGCAGTCAATTAACTTTCAAAAAAGCTATTCAATTTCATCACTAACCAAACAAATGAAAATTAAACTAGAATGGGATGTTTTTCATTTTTTTCCTAGCGTTTTCCAGTGCTAAGGATGAAACTCATAGCCTCACACATGCTCTACCACTGAACTAACCCTGTCCCATCTTAGAGGTATTCTTCAACACCAGATATTGCAGTATGACATTAACTTTACCAACTGGAGAACTAAAAAAAGTGTAAAACAACCAGTTCACACTGAAATTGTAAACTAGTACAGCTACTCTGAAAAATATTTGACATTATCCAACAAACTTGAGGAAGCACTTAACCAGCAATTTAGCAGTTCTGCTGCTAGTTATGTTTCCTACATAACTCATGCCATATGTACCAAAGCAATGCACAATAATTTTTAGCACAACACTTAATTTACATCCAAAACAACTTGCAAACAAATCAAATTTCAACTACAGAATAATGAATAAGCATTTTGCATGCTATTCATAAAATGCAGCATCCTGATAGTAGTTAAAAATAAATGAACCAGAGCAGCACAAATCAAAACTCAAGTCAGAAAACAAGATCTGTATCTCCTAAGTGAGATTCCATTTATATGTCAAAGCAGCACAGCTAAATATGAGTAAGTGACAAAACAGTACAGAAAGAAACTAATACACAAAGTTGAAGACAGTGTTTTTGTCTGGAAAACAAAGAATAGGATCAGGAACTTAAATTTGTATGTGAGCGTATGTTGTGTATGTCTATGCAGTGTGTCTATGTATGTGTGACCATGTTCTTTAGCCATACAAAAGTTTTTTCAAATTCTCAACAAAATTTCACAGACCTAACCCTAAAAGAAACACAAAGCTTGAATACATTTTCAATAAAAAGACTCATCTCTGTGAGTTCAAGGCCAGCCTGGTCTACATAGTGAGTTCCAGGACAGCTGGGGCTACAGAGAGACTCTGTCTCAAAAAGACCAAAAAAAAAAAAGACAAGCACAGTGAGAGTTTTAAAGTTCACAGGCTTGCCAGTAGTCCCCAAATTCAAAACTCAGATGAGGTTCATCTAACTCACAATCTGACACTCCTTCCATTTGACCAAACAGTTCTCTTCGCTCACTTACAAAAAACATGTAAATTTCAGTCTCAAGTAACAAAATTAAAGAGGAAAAGTCATCAGAAATAGAAATGCTAAAGTTTCCAGTAAACCTCAATGTAGGTGGCAAACAATGAAGTTGTGGAAAATATTGAGAACAGAATACAGGTATCTAGAGGAACTGTGGTGCCAACAAACATGCCTGAACCTGTAAGCAATGAATGAGAAGAGAAGTCTCCTGAGGCCCTTCAGAAGGGCGGTGAATATACAGTACTGAATATGCAGGATTCTCCTAGTTCTGTCAATAACTGAGTCACCATTACACTCATTTTACAGATGAGAAAAAGAAGGCCCCAAAGGCTAAGAGAAGAGAAACTTCTCAATGAAATTCCCAATGTTATCACTAGCTCAGGAAAGTTCACTGAGTCAGAAACTTAGGCACCAATGATCAGAAGATGACTACAACAATATTACAGATATGAAACATAATTATACACAAGAGTACAGAATGAAAAAGTCAACTATCAGAGCTGAAATGGACAATTTTTTTCCTGAATCTGAGCCAAGATTTCTCTATCTACTTAATCATCTACCAAGCAAGAGAACAAATAACAGCTTACCTGTGACCAGGGTGATAAATAGCAGTATTTATTCCATGAGGATAATGGCCATGAAAGCTGAAACTGTGACTCTCTTGGTAGCTCTGATTTGTCCCAACACTAAGTTTAAGAAGGCAAAAAAAGAAATATGTAACATTAAACCACAGTGGTGTCACTGAATATTGAAAATATCTGTAATTCAAAGACAGACAATATCAAATATTGTTGAGGATGCAAAACAACCAAAATTCTGACATATTACAGTGGGAATGTGAGTGACACAACCACACTGGCAAAAAGTCTATTAGTTCCTCATAAAATAAAACTGTATATACCCTATGTCCCAGCGATACCACTGAAAGAGAAGGACCCAGGAAAAAAGAAAGACTTCATCTGTAAAGACTTATGCAATGGGGGCTGGAGAGACTGTTCAGAGTTTAAGAGCACTGGCTGCTCTTGAAAAGGATGGAGGTCAGATTCCCAGGACCCACATGGTGGCAAACAACCATACATAATTCTAGTGTCTGGGATCCGACACCCTCTTCTGACCTCCACATGTACTGCAAGACACAGGTGCAGTTTCACATATGCAGGCAATATACTCATAAACATAAATAAGTAAATAAATAAATAAATAAATAAATAAATAACTTATGCAAGAATGGTCACAGTATATCCAATGGTCACAAATGGTCTAGTTTGCAACAGCCCCAAAGGGAAACTTATAAGTCTATCAAGAGAGGAATGAATAAACAAACCATGCAATATTTATATATCTACATGTAAATATATATCACATAATTCATTAAATACTAATCACTGGTAAAAATGAATAAAGTAATGATATACAAAAATATTGATGAATTCAAAATATGCTAGATAAATGAAGACTTAGATCGAAGTTTGTATTTGATTCCATTGATGTGAACTATTTCAACAGGCAAAACTAATTTATGACTTCAAAAAAAAAGAAAAACTTTTTCACTGGGGTCTAGTCAGTCTATCTTGTACTGAGGGAAGTCTGGGTACACTAACTTGGTCCTTAATATATATGAGAGAATACATGAAATCCAGTGGGAGGAAGGATGCTTTGAAGGATGCAGATAGGAAGGGGGTATAAAGATGATCAAGATGTTTTGTATGAAATGCACAAAAATTCAATAAAAAATATATATTAAAGCCGGGCGTGGTGGTGCATGCCTTTAATCCCAGCACTTGGGAGACCGAGGCAGATGGATCTCTGTGAGATGGAGGCCAGCCTGGTCTACATAGCAAGTTCTGGGTTTAATTAATTTTTAAAAACAACTTTTAAAAATGGTAGCTGTTCTAGGTAGAGGTGATGTGGAAGAGAGAAGGATGAGGGAATTTTCTGGCATGATAGCAATGTTCTGCATCTTCTCAAAGGTCTGAATTGTACAAATATATGCATCTATCAAAATTAAGATTTCTGCATTTCATTGTATGTAAATTTTATCTCAAAAGAAATTATGAACAAATAAGGAACTCTTAATAATCTGCATTCTGAAATATTTTATATCTCTAACTTACTCTGAAAGACAAAATAGGATTGATTAATAGCTGAATAGAGGGATGAATAAATGGATGGAGATGGCATAGAAAGTAGAGCAAAACCATAATCCCAGAATTCAAACAGAAGTATATGAGCGTTCACTATGTAAGTCTTTCAGTTTTCTAATACATCTGCAATTTTTCATAACGCACTTTTAAAAAGAAGTATTAATATCTGGCACAAAACCAGAAAAATAAACATTCTATCAAATATGACTTCCAACACATTTTTACCTAACAAGGTAACTTCTAAGTTCTCCTCGGTAATTGATGACCAAGAGTTCTGCAGACCATTGCGCACTTGCTTTGTATTCTAAAAATATCAACCCAGCAATGGCATAGCTCAAATCACCAGCAAAACTAGAAGCCTGTAAAAGAGGAAGAAATTACATTACTAAAGAGATACTAGGTAAATCATCAGATGCACAGCAGGAAAAAATCCAACATTGGTTTTACCAAGCAAGCCGAGGCCATGCCTCTTAACCAGTCTGAACCACAGCAGTCTCTCTGAATGAGATGTATTTCTACTTAAATTAACTATAAAATAAGAAAAAATAATGTCACCATCCAGCCTTAGAGAACTGTAAAAAAGATTCTTTCCAGATATAAGCTTTCAAATATTAATTTCTTCTACTGCAACAGCCTATGCTAAAAAAAGACTTCAGGAAATTTCCATCTGCCTAATCATCAACTTAAAGGGAAGGATACAGCTGGGCGTGGTGGCATATGCCTTTAATCCCAGCACTCGGGAGGCAGAAGCAGGCAGATCTCTATGAGTTCAAGGCCAGACTGGTCTACATAGTGAGTTCCAGGACAGCTGGGGCTACAGGGAGACCCTGTCTCAAAAAGACCAAAAAAAAAAAAAAAAAAAAAAAAGGGAAGGATACTTAAAACATTCACTCAATGTCAACCTTTTTCCATCAACTAAATATCTGGCTATATTGATAAAGATTTGAAAGCCTGAGCTCCTTGGGAAACTCTATAATAATAAAGTTTATTATCCCTGAACATGATCATAATATTCTATTATAACATATGTCATCTTGACAAAAAGATTATTTTAAGAAGAGGGCTGGGGCTGGAGGGAAATGTTTCGGTTCCCAGCACCCACACGGCAGCTAACAATTGCCAGTTGGAGTTCCAGGGGATTCAACACCCTCTTCTGACTTCCATGGGCAATGCACGGCATGGGTACACTTACATGCATGCAGGCAACACACTCATACACACAAAATAAAAAATAATAATAAAAATAAAATATTTTTTGACGAAAGATGAAGGCAACTGAGAACCAACAGATACAGGAAAAGTTCTCTACCCACCCCTTATCTGTTTAAAAATATGGCATAAATTTCTCTTGGTGAAAATGCTCCTGTACACCAGGCAGAGGAAAGTGAGAGTTACACCAGAATAAATCTGTAAACCTTATTAAAGATTCATTAAGACCCTACATATATTTCTAAGTCACTTTCCTATAGTTTCCACCACTAGAAGCCCAAACTCCCTTTATCTTATCTATTCACATCGCCATATTTTAAAACCCTCTATTAAAATAGCACATAAGCTCCTGACTCAAACTGTTTCTTTGAGGTTTTGGTTTTCTGCAAGGCTCCATGCATGGAAAAATATTACAAATAAATATGACATGACTTTCCTCCTATTGATCTGTCTCTTGTCAAGTTTAATTTGCAGGTCCACAGAAACTAAATTTAAGAGTGTAGAGGAAAACCTTTTCTCCCTAACATTTCCAACAGTTCCTCATGATCTAAAACTAGTCAATGAACACCTAATATTGGCCTAATCCAAACCAAGATATTCTATAGATAGAAAAATATAAAAGTACATGCCAAATCTCAGACTTAGTACCAAGGATGAATGTAAAATCTCTCTCAACATTTCATAAAGATTGGATGATGAAGTAATCATATTTTGGATATACTGGTATTAAATAAAATACAGTTTTAAATAAATTTCACCTGTTCCTTATTACAGCTACTTGGAAAGTTTAAAATTACACCTGACCACATAGATAACTCTCATTATGGCCCTATGTGACAGCACTAGCCTATTAAATAGCAATTTGAACCTTTATTTGAAACTTCTACAATGTAAGTTCACTGCACTTTTTCTGATTTTCCAGTGTTTTGCATGAAAATCACTATCTGTGTCATCGGCTTTCAACGCTAACTTCTTAGAACAAGCTGAAAAGTTTGCAAAGAGTACTCATCCCTAAGTCCTACTCTTGTCAATTAGTCAGAATCTGTATGCACTGAACCTGAGCAACCTACAAAATCTATTTGGTTTCTGCTTTATACTTTTCTTTATGAAGCTCCCAGGTTATTCTATAACAGACACAGAAACTGCTTTTGCTAAACACTGACTGACTCTTCACTTGGGCCCACAGTATAACTAAAGCCAAGGGAAAAAAATCTAGGCCCTCTGTCTTCATTTTTTCTATTTACTTTAGTCAGACTCCTATTAATCATTCAAGCAGTGTCTGTCTACTCCCTTCAAGGATAAAGCACAAAGAGTAATGGAGGAACTGGGCAAGGTGGCACACACCTTTAACCCCAACACTTGGGAAGCAAAGGCAGACAGATCTCTGAGTTTGAGACCAGAGTGGTCTACCCAGTAGAGTAACTGAGGTATCTTACTGTCTGAATGTCTGAACTTAAAATGTCCTGTTCTATACCCCGAATAGACTGAATGAAAAGTCTTCAGTCATGGGCTAGATATGTAGTTCAGTGGTAGAATTATTTACTTAGCATATACAAGGCCCTGGGTTCTATCATTAGCACGAAAACAAAAAAAGTCACTAGACACTGGCCTAAACTTATAGTCAACTGGATTTCAGGAAGAGCAAAACCCTGAGAGACTCCATGATGACATCACCCCCTAAACAGGAGAAATTACCCATGATGGAAACTGAGGCTGCCTGCCCTTCCCCACAGAAGTGAGTATATTGTGGAATCAAACTGTCCCCTCAAAGAGACAGACTTCTCAAGAATCACTCTGCAGAATCAGGACTTAGTTAAGAAACAAACAGGCCAGAGTTGGATCAAGAGTGCTCACTTGCATATAGCTCTCACCCAGGGCCCAATTCTTCCTTTATTTAAACATAAAACTCATGTGAGTACCCTAAACATGGGCTCAAGAGTTTGCTTTCAGTCCTCCCAAAATAGCCATTTTGATTAAAATTCTGTCCTAAATTTTCACCATTATTTGGGTTGGGCCTTTTAGTTTTTCACTGTTTTGTTTTTGTTTTTGTTTTTTTCCCCTCCCAACCTACTTTTGAGTAGGGTGACTATGAACATTAAATGAGGCTATATATCAAAGTCATTAATAAAGCAAAAAGGACTTCACTAATACATGTAATTTCTCTACTCTGCCTTTTAATTCCTATCCTTTTTTTAAAATTTGTTTTTATATTTTTGTGTATTTCACACAGAACATCTCAATCTTAATCACCTTTCAACCCTGTCCCCACCAGTACCTTCCCATAGTCCGCCCCCTCCAGTGGAGCCCATATACTGTGTCATCCCTGTTATGGCCGAGCCCGGCTCCTCTAGAAGCTGTTGCTGTTCCAACAGCTCATTGATGTTTTCCCTCACTTCCCTCACTGTAACCTAACAACACTGCATATCATGATATAAGAAAAACTGAGATGTTCTAAACATAATTATAAGGACCAGAGGATGGATGAGTAGTAGAGGGAGAAGGGAAGTTAATCAGTTAAGAGGTGTGGGTGAAACCAACACACAGTTCATGTCGAAGCCATGACTTAAATCCCATCAGGACAAACCACCAGGCTCAGTATGCCATGTTGCTTGTGTCCACCCCAGCCAATCTATAAGCAATGAATACTTCTCTTTATGGGTGGTCTTTCCGGGCTAAGCTTTCCCTACGTCATGTTATCCCACCCCTCCTTTCTATAATAATGCAGGGTCAATGCAAACACTGCTTTCCTCTTCTAAGTACAAGAAGAATCTTAACTGTAGGTCCAGGAGACATTTTCCATCTGGTACCTATGGCCTTGGTTCCTGACAGACATGAGAACTAGTTCTAGAACCTGGTCATTTCCTTTTCTGGCTATCCTCTATAATGGCTCAATAAATCATGAAACTTTTATTTCAGACATCCCTTAGTGTCAAGAATTTAAGTTTAACAATCTCTAGTCCATACCACCAGGTGGTTTACACCTATATAGTGTATTACCAAATACAAAAAAATATTATATAGCTAGAATTCTCTGACTTCAACAACAAAAAAAAAAACCCCACTATGATTGTCTTCAAGGTTTTGGTCTTTTTGAGGCGGGGGTCTCCCTGTAGCCCCAGCTAGCCTGGAACTCTATTGTAGACCAGGCTGGTCTTGAACTCACAGAGATCCACCTGCCTCTACCTCCCGAGAGCTGGGATTAAAGGCATGCGCCACCACGCCCGGCTCTCATTTACACTTGCATTAGCCCACTCTTCACACTCATCCATTGCAACATTATATATAGAAGACACAAATACACACACACACACACACACACACACACACATCGTCATCGTCATCGTCGTCGTCATCATCATCATCATCATCATCTGGGGTGTATACATACCGGGGAAATGACAAAGAGTTCACTTCCCATAAGATCAAACACTCTTACAGTTCCTGTGCTTTCAGCATAGGCTAGCAGTGTGCAGTCATGACTCCATGCTACCCTTCTCCACTGGGGCTTGGGGTCTTTTGGAACTAGAACAAAAAAAAAAAGAGGAGCTCTTAACAATATTCTATAAAGAGAGTTAACAGTTTTAGCAACCACAATAAAATAAGTATTCAGCAAGTACCTCATCTCCTAAGGATCTCTAATGCTTTAGACAACAGAACAGTTCCCAGAAACCCACTTCAAGTAAGATACAAACCATGGCAAACTCTGCCACATTTACTTTATAAGCAAATCAGCTTACTGCTACCAGAAGTCTGATGAATACTGAGCATACCCTAGACTAGCAAAGGGTCATGAGTAAGTTACTTCAAAATGCCTATGAAATTGAGAACAATCAAAAGCCAGAAACCAGGTCCTTAAACGGTGGATTGCCATATAGGGTCACACACCTAAATGTGGGAGCCTAGAAAAAACTGACAATCGTAAAAGGTCTTTGAACAATGACCAAAAATTAATTCAAAATCAAATGTGTAATAAATCTGAGGTTTTTCTGGTAGCATTCACCCATGCTGCACTGCCCAACTTCACTACAGCCTTAGTTCTGAGCATATAACATGTATACTCTGCACTGTGAAGACCATCACATCTCACAATACCAAAGAATGCTGCCTGAAACACTTCAGATTCGAGGCTATTCTATGTGATGAACTGTACTACTTTACTACATATACAAAATTTTCTGCTCCTACTGAAACATATGCTTTAGTTATAGAAAAATGACTTTTAATATTTTCCTATCATCATCCCTCAGTATGTATCAAATATTTGGTTTGTACCAGGTTAGAATGTTTGATTTAAAAATTATCATTTGAGTTGCTGGCTTGAGTCTCATAAAGAATCATTAAAAGAAGTTTGGGTTCGGGGGGCTGGAGAGATGGCTCAGCAATTAAGAGTACTGACTGCTCTTCTTACAGAGGACCCAGGTTCAATTCCCAACACCCACATGGCGGCTAACAACCATCTGTAATGCCAGTTTCAGGGGAATTTGACACACCTTCTGACCTTCACAGGCATTGCATGACATGGGTGCACTTATATACATGTAGACATAACACACACATAAAATAAAGAATAATATAAATTTTTTAAAAAAGAACTTTGGTTTGGGATTAGCACAGAACTTCCCACAACTTCTAAAATGATCTTAAATATGCTTCTGCCATTTGTACCATATATTTATGTGAAGTACATTCTCATCATTGATAATTATAAAATCAAAATATCAATCAACTCTAAAAAATACTAACAATGTTCTGCATCTTGAAGTATCACATAAGCAAGCACATCCATCCTTGTCTCCTCTTTAATGAATGATAGAATTATATGTATACCAAAGAACTGCTCCAAAATAAACTTATGATTTATAATCAGTAAATGTTTTATTTGTACACATATTTTATATACCTATATTCCTAGAATCACATGAAAATTTCTCAGGCAAACAGGAGTCACAAGTACAAAAAGGTTAAGAAGCCCTGGCCAACAGAATGTGTAGAAAACAATTCCAATCGATTGAGCTCAGCCCCTCTAAATCCAAAACATAAAAGGTCCAACTGAGATCCTTTAAGTATGTCCAATACATATTCCAAGAAGGTACAAACTAAGAAAGAGGATTTAAATATATATAAATATATAGGAAGATGTGCTGGATAGCTTTAGTGTCAACTTGACACACCTGGCTTGAGGGAGCCTCAATCAGGAAATTGCCTCTATTGGACTGGCCTGTGGCCATGTCTGAGGGGCATCTTCTTGGTGAGTGATGTGGGAGGGCCCAGCCCACTGTGGGTGGTGCCACCCCTGGGCAGGTGGGCCTATGCAGCAGGCTGAGCAGGGGCGGGGGGAGCAAGCCAGTAAACAGTGTTCCTCCATGGCCTGTGCTCCAGCTCCTGCCTCCAGGTTCCTGCCCTGAGTTCCTACCTTGGGATCCCTGATGAACTGTGACCTGGGAGATGTAAGACAAATAAACCCTTTCCTCCCCAAGTTGGTAGTAGTCAGAGTATTTTGTCACAGCAATGAAGAAACAAACAAAGAAAGCAGATGATTCAAGAACTGTTCCTAGTCACATATTAAATTTCTGATAATGAATACCTTAATAATCCTAATAAAATCACAGAGGTTGCTCAAAAATGAAAAATAAAACTGCCATGTGATTCAGCCATTTCATTCCTGGTTACATATCCAAAGGAATGAGATATGAGCATGTCTCAGAGGCAGCTGTACGCCTATGTTTATTACATTATTTACAACAGCCAAGAAAGAAAACATGTCTAGTAACTGATGGTCGATAAACAAAATCTGATATGCTCTTTAGCCACAAAAAAGAATGGAATGCCATAATTTGCATCAGCATGGATGAACTAGAGATTGCTATGTTAAGTGAAATAAGGCAAGCACACAAAGACAAGTATTATATGATCAGAATCTAAAAATGTTGATTTCATAGAAACTGAGAGTATACACTGTAGAAGAGGGAGGCAGAAAGATTGTAAGAGCAGGGGTGGTGCATGAACATAAGGAAACAGTTTTTCAGGCCTCTGACAACTTGCTCATATGAACTTACAGCAATGGTGTCAGCATGTACAAGACCCATGCAGACTCAATCAAAAACCCAGCATAGAACTGTGGAAATGGGCAGGAGGCCACAACCTTAGCCGAAGAACTATTGTCAACTGCTTACTGCTGGGTAAGGAAGAGCTGATCTTCTTTAAGGGAGTGACACTAGATAAACTGACTAGGCTCCAGTGGATGAATTTGTACCAAGGGACATCTAGGTACAAAAGCTTGACTCAATAGTCTGTAACATATATGACAAAATGCATGAAATCGAGTGAGGGAGGGGGAACTATAGGAAGGTGCTGATGGGGAAAGGGGTCTAAATATGATTAAGATGTATTGGATAGGGGCTGGAGAGATGGCTCAGCAGTTAAGAGCACTGACTGCTCTTGCAGAAGACCTGGGTTCAATTCCCAGCGCCCACATGGTGGCTAGGAATCGTCCTTAACTCCAGTTCCAGGGGAATCCGAAACTCTCTTCTGACCTCCATGGCACTGGACAACACAGGTGCAATCACATACATGCAGGCAATACACGCATACACATAAAATAAAAATAATAAATAAAAAAGATGTATTGGATGAAATGCACAAAAATTCAATTAAAAAATAAACATTTTAAAAAATTGACAGTACAGCAGTGGTTACCAGAAGCTAGAAAGAATAGCAGGCAGGAAAAGATGAGGACAGGTTGATTGATGGGGACCAAGTTACAAAAAAATGCACAGTCCTCTGATTCTTTGCTACTATAAGCCAGGTTCGTCACACCTTGTTTAGAGTCTTACAATAGCGTTGTAAGCAGTCTTCCCTCTGTAATAGGGCACCTTCTTGACAATAGCTATGTCATGTTAAAGTTTAGGCTGGTTCTAGTCTCTGAAATTATCAGGCAGTTGGCCCAGGGTATGAGAACACACATCAGCTGGACCCCAGTTGTCTTGGGAACAGGTCAGCACGTCCTGGAGTGCACCTGCTAACTGCAGACTTATGGCTCTGTAGGTTATGTTTGGCTTGCTTCTGCAAATTAGTAATTATTACTTAAGAGAATAGAAATTGTTAAGGGGGCTTTGTACCTATAAGATTGGGAACTTAAAACTTTTCACCCCCGGTTAAGGTTTCTCTATATAAAAGCTTACCCTAGAGATGGCACAGGACTACACATGGGTTCCAACACCCTTGTGTAGCTGCTAGCCAGCAACAACTCATCCTGCAAAACTTTGAGTGGTCTTCTCTGGCAAAGCACCACATAATACCTCTTTCAGTCTCTTATCCTCGTTTCCTTCCTGGACATAATTCAAAGACAACATTTTCAAAAAGGAAGGTGAACAAATCACATCTTCCTACTGCCTTGAAATCCCTGATGAGTCCATATTCTCAACAATGTGAAGTGCAGCAGACCATTGTAGCTCTCTAGCTTTCCTTCCCACCACTTCCTCTACCGAACACCCACCTCACCACCATCTGGCAAATAAGTACATCTGTGCCTTTCAGACACTTTGCTGCCTCTGCCTGGACAGTTCCTCTCCAACAGTACTCCTCCTTCAGAATGAACAGCACTTTTCTATGTACCTCAAATACCAAGCATACATTCTTTCATAGCACTTACCACATCAGATCATGTTGCTTACATAACTATCAGCCACACAAGTCTCAGAGATCCTAAAAACCAGAGAATATGTCCTATCAACATGGCTATCCCAGGTCTTAGAACAAAAAGTATTGTTCTGTTAATGAGAGAACCTTAAGTTTCTCAGGAAATCCACACCAATGGGGGAGAAAGGTAATGGAAATGCTTACCATCCCTCAACAACACCAATCAAATCTGAGTTAATAGAATCTTCTCTCTGCCTAAAAAAGGTACTATCCAGAATTCGTAATTCCCTTGTCCTCTCAAAAATATATTTTAAATATAGGAAATTACAGCAGAAATCAGTGAGTTTCTTCTTTTTGTCTATTTTTCAGTGCATTAAAAGTATACAAAACAGCTAAAGAGAAATCTTTGAACAACAGAGATGACAGATTTTACTGGATGCTAACAAGATACCACATAAACTTTGTAAACATCACTTCTTAATGGGAATAAAATGAAAAGGAAAACAGCTTCTTGTAGTCAGGCAGTTAAGACAAAACACCAAACTTGGAACAGTCAGACACAAAATGATAAATGACACAAGGATAAATACAGATGCTACATAAAAACCACAAGAGAACAACTCGCCTTAAAAATATTTATGTGCTAAGGAAACACTACAGTTATCCATTATTATTGTTTTACCTGTGATAACAGAATTTTCTTATTTCATTTTGATGGGACAAACAGATTTATGAAATACATTTGTTTTCTGTCTGAAATAAGTTCCATCCAAAAGGGATTTGCTTTGACTATTACCTCTGGTTAGAAACAGTAACTCCAGAAAACTCAGCATGTATTCTGACCCAGATAAACATATCTTTCATTACAAAATAATACTTTACAA